TTGCTACAAATAAAAAACGAGTTGCTACAAATAAGAAACGAGTTGCTACAAATAAAAAACGAGTTGCTACAAATAAGAAACGAGTTGCTACAAATGAGAAACGAGTTGCTACAAATAAGAAACGAGTTGCTGCAAATAAGAAACGAGTTGCTGCAAATAAGAAACGAGTTGCTGCAAATAAGAAACGAGTTGCTACAAATGAGAAACGAGTTGCTGCAAATAAGAAATGAGTTGCTACAAATGAGAAACGAGTTGCTGCAAATAAGAAACGAGTTGCTGCAAATAAGAAATGAGTTGCTGCAAATAAGAAACGAGTTGCTGCAAATAAGAAATGAGTTGCTGCAAATAAGAAACGAGTTGCTACAAATGAGAAACGAGTTGCTACAAATAAGAAACGAGTTGCTACAAATGAGAAACGAGTTGCTGCAAATGAGAAACGAGTTGCTGCAAACAAGAAACGAGTTGCTGCAAATAAGAAACGAGTTGCTACAAATAAGAAACGAGTTGCTACAAATAAGAAACGAGTTGCTACAAATACGAAACGAGTTGCTACGAATGAGAAACGAGTTGCTGCAAATAAGAAACGAGTTGCGGCAAATAAGAAACGAGTTGCTGCAAATAAGAAACGAGTTGCTGCAAATAAGAAACGAGTTGCTGCAAATAAGAAACGAATTGCTGCAAATAAGAAACGAGTTGCTACAAATGAGAAACGAGTTGCTGCAAATAAGAAATGAGTTGCTTTTTCGACGATTTCTTAACTAAAGCAAATTGTAATCGATCTAAAGTATTCTATTTTTGTAGAAAAACGTCTCGTCTGCTTAACAGATTTCAATTTGACGTATTTGCGTTTTCTCGGACAAAATACGAACGACTTTCTTTGTGGCACTTCTCAAGATTGCAGACTGCATAAAAACCATAAGAGCCCCTATAAATCCTCCGACCCCCAGGCGATAAAGAAAGACCAGTACCTAACGAAAAATATATACCGATTATATAATAATGAATGTTCTCAGTCATCCAGTTAGTAAATAAAACCGGAATCGAGCAGTCGCAAACGCAATTTTGTCAGTCATTACCATTTGGTTTTCAGTAAGCATGTCGGCTCGTTTTAGACGCTGACCCATGAGTAAGTGACGGCTGCATGAAAGGAGGTTAAAGTTTTCATCACTTGAATCACACTGCACAAGAAGTATTCCTTCATTCCTGTTTAATGTTTGAAGAAAATCCCTAAAGGGTCAAAAAAAAAAAAAAAGATTTCTCACTATCTTTATTATTTTAGCACATTATCATAAACATCAACATTACTAACTCACCACCATCATCAACATCATAATTATCATCATCATGATTATCTTCCCCATCATCATCACCATCATGGTCCTCACCACCACCACCACCATCACCATCCTCCACGTCATCACCACCATTTATAACACCATTAACCCCATCACCATCATCATTTTAATTATCATCATCTTCAAGATTGTCATTATTATAAATATCATGATTATCATCATAACCATCATCATCATTATCCACGTCATAATCACGTGTCATTATGCATTCATCTTAATAAACTGATCTACACGAGATAAAATAAACCTGACGTAAACCGGTGACCAGCAAGAATAACAACTAATTTGCGACTAAAAACATTAAAACCCATACCTGACTTGTTTTATAAACTGTTGCTCAGTTTGAAACTGCTGTAAGGTAAGGAGTTTAGCATAACAATGCTTGATTCCGGCTGCCTTGCATATCTCTGTCATATCATTCTCGGATAACATTCGGGAATGCGTCGATACCTGTGCCAAAAGACCAAGGTGGGACCTAGATGCATCGTCCGTTCTCAAAGCGTTTTCTAGATATTTCACCAAACTGGTGTGTTCTTGTTTCTTAAAGTAGACATCTTGAATGTACTGAACTTGGTCCTTGATGGCAGTGTTAGATAGCCGTGCGATAGCGTCTGGGGTGGCACACTTAATTAAAAGGCTTTTACATTTGTCCATTATCTGCCAAAAAAATGTCAACAGAGACAAGTTTTTTAGGTGTGCCAACTTTATTTGAGTGTGCCAGTATCTGTGCGTGTCGATTATCATTGCTCGAAATAATGCATCGGCAATTTACGAAATCGTTGGAGTGTATAATGACATACAGGTATTTTAAGGGTTAATGAGAAGTTTCGTTGCATGTTGCATACTAACCCCGAAATAGACTAAAGGGTAATGTGAATCCAATTAGCGAAAAGTCACAACAATATGGAAATTTTCCTAACGTGTAGTCTGCACGTTTTTCCGGCATTATTCCTTTTGTGCTGACATTATTTACATATGACCTGCAATAAATTTCATGCTTGGTATGCAACATGCAAAATGCAACGAAACCTTCACCAGCTTTTTTGGGTGAAAAATCTGTATAACATAGACTGAAATCAGTCTCTGAATGGATAGACCATTACATACCATTACATACAAAATAAACCGATATTCGTAATAAGTTAAGATTGCAATTAAGAAAAAAGCATTCTGATTTAGAGTCTCTGACGCCGCAGGAGTAGCATGAGAGATTAAAAAAACTAGATACTTTCCAATTCCCTTTTCGTCGTAATTCACTTCTCTATAGCCCCGGTTCCCTGTAGCGGATTTCTGCTTTATACCTTGCTTACATTTTCCTCGTTCAAGTGACCGCCATTACCGAGGTCTGAACAAACTTGAAGTACCATTGATGGTATGGTGTCATCATGATAGCCAACAAAGGCATCCCCGATCTCAAAATGTCTATAAACAAAAAGCATACTTGACACAAATTCTCTTTCTTTTGGTGATTAAAAATTTAACTTTACTTTGTAAATAAGATAGCACACACTTTCATAAGTCTGAATTATAAATTATGATTGGGTGACGTTTTGATTGCCTCAAATGAAAAGTCACACGGACATGCTGTGATGTGACCATGACGGTACCGTGTACGGGCATTTTCATTGGCTGAGCAATGATCTCATGCGCTGTGATTGGTTCAAAAGTACTGATTCCTTAGCGTGAAAAAATCTACTCTTACACGCAGTCTGGTTCATGGCACACTAACCTACTACTCTTCCCAGTAGACCGAGGTAGTTGTGATTTTTTAATCGCCTTCGTAGCGTCTGTTATGTTATCCGCAAGTACATTTCAAATCGACCACGTGATGCCAATGTTGTACCACGAGGACAAGTTTTTACACCACGTGATCAAAATTCAGTCAAGTTTTAATCACGTGGTGTAAAAAACTTGTCCACGTGGTACAACATTGGCATCACGTGGTCGATTTGAAATGTACTTGCGGATAACATAACAGACGCTACGAAGGCGATTAAAAAATCACAACTACTTCGGTCTACTGGGAAGAGTAGTACAGTGTAACCTACTTATCAGGTTCTTTATTTATAAAATTCCACCCCGGCTCAACTCCCCTCCTATTTCTCCTTCTTTTAGCCCGGAGGGGGAAGGTCGAGGTAAGGAGAACCTAATAGAGAGTTTTAGATTGACTTTTTTCCTCCCCGCAAACGGCAAACGTGACCACGTTTTCATCGTTTTCCTGTATTTTACTTTACCTTTTACAAAACATCTCACCAAGCGCAAATACTCTTTTGTTTTTCTACTACTTGGACTTTTTTGCGATTCTTTTTCAGTAATTTAACTTACTTTTGCCCTTTATGACGTGGGACTTGAGCTGACGCAAAGCTTCGAGCCCATTCTCTGAGGACTTTCACAATGTCCAGCTGCGCTTGATCCAGGCTCTTGGACGTCACCAGGTAATGCTTTTCAAGGCGATTGATAAGTGGTATCGGAAATTTCTTGTAAACTACATCTTGCTCAGCAACGACAATGAGTCTAAAAAGAATTTGAAATAAGTTCAAGTGTGATTCAAGCAAATCAACTACAACAGTGGGCATACTTGTCTTCCAGTCGTGAAGGTCTAACGAATACAGTTTATACAGTTGATGTTAAATACCTGAAGTCATTGTCAACTCTGCATTTTACTCTGTGGCTGCCAAGACCAAGATCCACGTACTTTTGATCGGCACAGTAAACGTAATACTAAGTGAAATAAAAATAAGAAGAAAGAAGGCACTCCATTTCCTTGGCTTTTCAATGACAATCTAAATTAAAATTTTGATCTTCAGCCTGTTCCATTATTATTATTTCATCAGGGTTGGTTTTAGGTTGGGAAGGGAGAGGGGCGATAGGCCCGCAGTCCCCCCTTTTTAGTCTACGGACCTCCTCTAGTTTCGTTTTCCATGGTCAGCGGTGAGATTCGCCGAGCGCCGAAACTTCACGTGCCCTTCCTTATCCCTTTCTCAGATTCCTGGATCCTTCCCTTTCCATTATTTTTCTTTACAGATTTATATACCTGATTTAGAACATCATAAAGACTCTCATAAAGCTTCTCCAGATTAAGCAGTATAACTGTCCGTCCTGTTTCCATACACACTTTTATTTGGTTGATGTTTCTGCAAACCTGTAGAGTAATATGCACGTAACGAATCAGAGTTTTCGAATCGTTCAATAAAGCTCTGTTTTTAGATAAACACAGAGATACACCAGTGCATCAAAAATACCCAAGGGCATGGAGAAGATTTTGTAGGGGTCACGAGCGGTGGTTGGTGTCATTTTTCAAAATGGTCTTAGTACTCTAGATTGTTTTTGACCGTTTTCACAGCTGTTTTAAAAAGATGCTGTCGGTCGGAGATCTGAAAAGAGCAATCTGAGACTAAACAACTTTTTTTTTTTTTTTTTTGCTTTAATGTTTTCTGGCTAAAATACGAAAAATCACATTTCTGAAGGTCGTGCTTCATTTACCAATCTAAAAGGAAACTAGGTTGTTTGGCTGTGAATATATTACAATATGAAGTGAGTTACTCGGTCTCAAATTTCAGATCTACAACCAACGACGTTTTTTGAAATATAGGTGTATGAATAATAAATACATCGCAATGAGCAGCACATCGGGCAGAATGGCTATTGTTCTCGGCGACATGTACTTACAGTTAAGTGATTTTCAAAGATGGGTATAATTTATGAATATATTATAAGAAATGCATTATTAACCAGCTTTCGCTAACACTGATTGGTTTGACCCAARACAAAGATCCTGTCAATCACGAATGATTGACAGCACTAATTCCCTTGAGTCAAGCAAGTCATGTCAATCAAAATGTTTACTGAATTTCGAATAAGAATTAATTATCAAACCTGGACTCGTGATATGGATAAAGAACACATAGAAGTCACCATGTCAGACAAGCAACAGCGATGTCCGAAAAGAGAAGATTCGCGAGAAACGACAGAAAAGAGCAAGGAACTGCTATTTAAAAAAATGGGCATACTATCTTTCCTCTTATAAGCCCCCACCCCTAAGAGCAGTTGTGGTCCTTTTCCCTTGGTAAGCCCTTGAATTCATTTCACCTGTTCAGATTATGAATAATAATAATAATAATAATAATAATAACAATAAAAAAAGAATAAAATGAGTAAAAATAATTATGAATTTCCAAAGATTAGGAAAATTTATTAAGCCCCCAGCTTCTAATCAGCCCCCAGCCTCTAATAAGCCTCCAGCATCGATCGAAAAGCACAGAAAAAGAATACGTCCCCAGTGCATGGGGTTAATTGAAATACGGTACCTGTGTATATTCCTGATCTTTAGGAAAACTGCTCCCGAAAATCACAACATAGTCCTCCTTGTTTTTATTAAGCTGCTGCTCCACAATTCTAAGGGCGGAGTAGTTCTCCGTCAAGACAAGAAGGTAGCGACTTTCACTGCGGAAAAAACACATATAGATTGATCATTCAGCATGTCAAGTATCATTAGTTTGATTTACATAAAAAACAAAACAAACAGCAGCAGCAGCAGCAGCAGCAGCAACAACGACAACAACAACAACAACACATTTACAGACAGAACAAAATACTTTCTTACCCAATAGTGTTTTTGCGATCTAGACTAGCTGTTAGCAAGTCCAACGTGTTTACTGCCTCACGTTCCTAATCACAAAGACAAAACACAATCTGGTTTTATTCTACTTAATTTAAGGGAGGGAAACTGGTGGAAAACTGTACTATCAATTTTGATTAGTCTATTACAATCCACTTTTCCCGCTCTTTTCGGTTCTTCCGGTAGACGCGTGTACCATTTGTCGGAAGTCAAATTTTTCCGCTCTTTTTTTTACCAATAGAAAACAATTTCCGACCGGATGGATTGGTTTAAATGGTAAACCCCCCAGTTGTCAGCTGGGTCGCGTTATTATGAAAGCGGGTTTAAGACTACAGATATAATACATTTTTTCAAACTACAGATGAGTACCCGCATTCCTTCATCACTTCCACGAGTCACGCGCTTTCTAAAGATCTCTACGGCATTGATTTCATCAAGCCCGCCAAAGTTCCTTCTAATGGCACGCTCAAGTTCCTTCCAGTTTGGTTTTCTGCCTTCTTGCGCTGCAATGCTGTACACCATCTTTACGAGACTACAAGATGAAAAAAAATAAAAATAGAAACTTGGACAAGTCTTGGACAAGACATGTTTAGTTACAAAATCGCTGCAAATGCGTATACTTGGTCACTAGTTAGAACTACGTGCTCGACCCGACCGCCTCGCTTCGATAGTACGCTCATTGAGAATATTACCGCTGGCACATAGGCGTTAACTGAATTTAATAAGAGCTATTTTAAGGCACCATTTGACCTCAAATTGAAAGTCTTCACAAATATTTCCCTCAAATATTTTTTCTACACATAAAATACTTTACCTATAGAAGTCACGCAACCCAAAAAACTCGTCTCTCCCAGATTGCCGCAATGACTCAAATTTCTTTTGTTTCCTATAAAGGTCAGCATAACCAGCAGCAAGTTTATTAAGTAAAGATGACAAGATAGTCTGTACATCTTCTCGTTCGGCGCAGATTCCCCTACATAATCAAAGAAGTATATAAGTAGTTTTTCCCTCCTTCTTTTTTTATCATCACTTCAGAAGGAGATAATCGTCTAATATTCGTCCTCATTCTCGTATCCAACACCTTCTCAGCCTTCTAACGAAAATCGTTTTTTCGTTGAGAAGGGTCTGGGTACGAGAATGATTCGTCCTGTGAAAATGTACCAGTTGACCCCTTTGGAACAACGACAGCGCGCGAAAGTAACCAGTGTGAGGCCTCACTTCCTCTCTTTTCGTGCGCGCGGTTACGCTTAATACTCCCCCATTCCAGCTGTAGGTCGAGGACGCTTCTATAACTAACCCCTACTCTTTTTAGCTTCATACCTTGCGCTGTCTTCCAGCTCCTTCATACTGGGCTCAGCACGCACTAACATCAAGCCTCGGTTCATCTTAGCGGGGTCTAGAGCCCAGTTTGATATTCCTATAAAAGCTACTCGAGTGGGTTTCTCGTTGGTCTCGGTGATGTCATCAGATGACGTCACTCCATCCTCTAACAAGGGGTGAAGGGTTTTCAGCGGCATCAAAGGTGAATCCTCTGCTAAACCAACCTCGTCTAACACTACTACTGATGCGTATCGGCCRTCTGGATTATTGTCTTGCAACCGTCGACATTGTCTGAACGTTGCAACGATACCCTCAGGAGTGGAGAGTGGGCTGCATTGGTAGGATACCATATGAGCCTGAGGAAATAAGGTTATAAATTCAGCCGACGATACGAAAACAACAGAAATAACAACAACAGCAAGAGCAAGAGCAACAACAACAACAGCAACAGCAACGACGACGATGACAATAAAACAACACTGATTAGCAGCAACAATAGCAATAACAACCACAACCACAACCACGTGGAATTTTCTTCTATTATCATCGTCGTCGTTGTTGTTGACGCTGTTGTTGTTATTGCTGCTGTTGTTGATGTGCATACAGCGACAGCGACAGCGACAACAACACCGACGACGATGACAATAGAAACAACAACAAGGCTGGGAGAAATTTCCATAGTTACCCTCTTAAATGTCTTAAAGAGTTGAGACTTGGACGCATCTCCTTGCATATTGTCAGCYACAACTGTCTTGGCAAGTGATTTGGAGCTGCCTGGTTTACCGATGACGAACAGAGGGATACGAAGCTCGATACAAACCACCATCATGAACACGTTCTCACTGAGGGCTGTGTTACGAGCGATGTTGGGACCCAGATTGAGTTCTTCAATCAACACCTTCTGACACCTAGAACACAAAAAATCAACAGTGCTTCCTTACGTGAGGGTGAATAATCCCCTTGCTCTAAGTCCTTATCCGGAGGTCAAAGAATTGAAAACATATTATCAAGAATTAAAGATTTTCAAGCACTCGATGAGAATAAGCCCATGTTTAAATAATAAAATTAAGATTAAATTAATAAAGTTCATTTAAGCACAGGCCGGACTGATCAAAGTCAAGGCTAATCCAAAGATCGAATTGGAAATTAGCGTGCAAGGTTTTGCTGATGGGGGAAAATGGGGGGCCCTCATTTTTTTTTAGTGCAATATGGGGGCCTTGAATGGTCAAAAGGAAGATTGGGAGGATTTTTTAAACGATTGAAGGGGGTACCCGAAAAACATGAAT